GAACGAACTTGAACTTGGCGACTAACCTGATAGTCCGCTTTCTTGGCCCAATCAGATCTCGGATTGAGTCCAAAACTTGGGGACAACAAAAGTGGTGGGAGGAGTCTTTGGTTGGTTTGGAGTGAAATCCTGGCTAAAACTATGCAATACACCAACTACTCCATTTTTGAACGAACTTGCTACGAACCTGAATAGTCCGATTTCTTGGACCAATCGATATCGGATTGAGTCCAAAACTTGGGGAACAACATAATATGGTGGGAGGAGTCATTTGGTTGGTTTGGAGTGAAATCCAATGGCTAAAACTATGCAATACACCAACTACTCCATTTCAGAACGAACTTGCTACAACCTGAATAGTCCGATTTCTTGGACCAATCGATATCGGATTGAGTCCAAAACTTGGGGAACAACATAATATGGTGGGAGGAGTCATTTGGTTGGTTTGGAGTGAAATCCAATGGCTAAAACTATGCAATACACCAACCACTCCATTTCAGAACGAACTTGCTACGAACCTGAATAGTCCAATTTCTTGGACCAATCGATATCGGATTGAGTCCAAAACTTGGGGAACAACATAATATGGTGGGAGGAGTCATTTGGTTGGTTTGGAGTGAAATCCAATGGCTAAAACTATGCAATACACCAACCACTCCATTTCAGAACGAACTTGCTACGAACCTGAATAGTCCGATTTCTTGGACCAATCGATATCGGATTGAGTCCAAAACTTGGGGAACAACATAATATGGTGGGAGGAGTCATTTGGTTGGTTTGAGTGAAATCCAATGGCTAAAACTATGCAATACACCAACCACTCCATTTCAGAACGAACTTGCTACGAACCTGAATAGTCCGATTTCTTGGACCAATCGATATCGGATTGAGTCCAAAACTTGGGGAACAACATAATATGGTGGGAGGAGTCATTTGGTTGGTTTTGAGTGAAATCCAATGGCTAAAACTATGCAATACACCAACCACTCCATTTCAGAACGAACTTGCTACGAACCTGAATAGTCCGATTTCATGGACCAATCGATATCGGATTGAGTCCAAAACTTGGGGAACAACATAATTGGTGGGAGGATCATTTGGTTGGTTTGGAGTGAAATCCAATGGCTAAAACTATGCAATACACCAACCACTCCATTTCAGAACGAACTTGCTACGAACCTGAATAGTCCGATTTCATGGACCAATCGATATCGGATTGAGTCCAAAACTTGGGGAACATCATAATATGGTGGGAGGAGTCATTTGGTGGTTTGGAGTGAAATCCAATGGCTAAAACTATGCAATACACCAACTACTCCATTTCAGAACGAACTTGCTACGAACCTGAATAGTCCGATTTCATGGACCAATCGATATCGGATTGAGTCCAAAACTTGGGGAACAACATAATATGGTGGGAGGAGTCATTTGGTGGTTTGGAGTGAAATCCCCAAATGGCTAAAATATGCAATACACCCAACTACTCCAGTTCATAACGAATTGCTACAGAACTGAATAGTCCGATTCTCTTGGACCAATCGATATCGGATTGAGTCCTAAACACAATTGGGGCAAAACCATAATATGGTGGCGGAGTCTTTGGTTGTTTGGAGTGAAATCCAATGGCTAAAACTATGCAATACACCAACACTCCATTTCAGAACGAACTGCTACGAACCTGAATAGTCCGATTTCATGGACCAATCGATATCGGATTGAGTCCAAAACTTGGGGAACACATAATATGGTGGGAGGAGTCATTTGGTGGTTTGAGTGAAATCCAATGGCTAAAACTATGCAATACACCAACCACTCCATTTCAGAACGAACTTGTACGAACCTGAATAGTCCGATTTCATGGACCAATCGATATCGGATTGAGTCCAAAACTTGGGAACAACATAATATGGTGGGAGGAGTCATTTGGTGGTTTGAGTGAAATCCAATGGCTAAAACTATGCAATACACCAACCACTCCATTTCAGAACGAACTTGCTACGAACCTGAATAGTCCGATTTCATGGACCAATCGATATCGGATTGAGTCCAAAACTTGGGGAACAACATAATATGGTGGGAGGAGTCATTTGGTTGGTTTTGGAGTGAAATCCAATGGCTAAAACTATGCAATACACCAACCACTCCATTTCAGAACGAACTTGCTACGAACCTGAATAGTCCGATTTATGGACCAATCGATATCGGATTGAGTCCAAAACTTGGGGAACAACATAATATGGTGGGAGGAGTCATTTGGTGTGTGTTTGGAGTGAAATCCAATGGCTAAAACTATGCAATACACCAACCACTCCATTTCAGAACGAACTTCTACGAACCTGAATCGTCCAATTTCATGGACCAATCGATATCGGATTGAGTCCAAAACTTGGGGAACATCATAATATGGTGGGAGGAGTCATTTGGTGGTTTGGAGTGAAATCCAATGGATAAAACTATGCAATACACCAACCACTCCATTTCAGAACGAACTTCGTACGAACCTGAATAGTCCAATTTATGGACCAATCGATATCGGATTGAGTCCAAAACTTGGGGAACATCATAATATGGGGGAGGAGTCATTTGGTGTGGTTTGGAGTGAAATCCAATGGATAAAACTATGCAATACACCAACCACTCCATTTCAGAACGAACTTCGTACGAACCTGAATCGTCCAATTTGTGGACCAATCGATATCGGATTGAGTCCAAAACTTGGGGAACATCATAATATGGTGGGAGGAGTCATTTGGGTTGTGAGTGAAATCCAATGGATAAAACTATGCAATACAACCACTCTCCATTTCAGAACGAACTTCGTACGAACCTGAATGGCCAATTTCTGGACCAATCGATATCGGATTGAGTCCAAAACTGTGGGAACATCATAATATGGTGGGAGGAGTCATTTGGTGGTTTTGAGTGAAATCCAATGGATAAAACTATGCAATACACACCAACACTCCATTTCAGAACGAACTTCTACGAACCTGAATAGTCCGATTTCATGGACCAATCGATATCGGATTGAGTCCAAAAACTTGGGGAACATCATAATATGGTGGGAGGAGTCATTTGGTTGGTTTGGAGTGAAATCCAATGGCTAAAACTATGCAATACACCAACCACTCCATTTCAGAACGAACTTCTACGAACCTGAATCGTCCGATTTCAGGACCAATCGATATCGGATTGAGTCCAAAACTTGGGGAACATATAATATGGTGGGAGGAGTCATTTGGTGGTTTTGAGTGAAATCCAATGGCTAAAACTATGCAATACACCAACCACTCCATTTCAGAACGAACTTCCTACGAACCTGAATAGTCCAATTTCATGGACCAATCGATATCGGATTGAGTCCAAAACTTGGGGAACAACATAATATGGTGGGAGGAGTCATTTGGTTGGTTTGGAGTGAAATCCAATGGCTAAAACTATGCAATACACCAACCACTCCATTTTAGAACGAACTTGCTACGAACCTGAATAGTCCGATTTCTGGACCAATCGATATCGGATTGAGTCCAAAACTTGGGGAAACACATAATATGGTGGGAGGAGTCATTTGGTTGTTTTGAGTGAGAAATCCAATGGCTAAAACTATGCAATACACCACATACTCCATTTTAGAACGAAATCGCTACGAAACTGAATTCCGATTTCTCGGACCAATCGATATCGGATTGAGTCCAAAAACTTGGGGAACATCATATAATATGGTGGGAGGAGTCATTTGGGGGTTGTGAGTGAAATCCAATGGCTAAAACTATGCAATACACCAACCTACTCCATTTCAGAACGAGCATCGTACGAACCTGAATCGTCCGATTTCGGACCAATCGATATCGGATTGATTCCAAAACTTGGGGAACATCATAATATGGTGGGAGGGAGTCATTTGGTGTGTTGGAGTGAAATCCAATGGCTAAAACTATGTGCAATACACAACCACTCCATTTCAGAACGAATTGCTACGAACCTGAATAGTCCAATTTCGGACCAATCGATATCGGATTGAGTCCAAAACTTGGGGAACACATATATGGTGGGAGGAGTCATTTGGGTGTTTGGAGTGAAATCCAATGGCTAAAACTATGCAATACACCACCACTCCATTTCTGAACGACTTGCTACGAACTGAAATCGTCCAATTTCACGGACCAATCGATATCGGATTGAGTCCAAAACTTGGGGAACATCATATATGGTGGGAGGAGTCATTTGGTTGTGTTGAGTGAAATCCAAGGAATAAAACTATGCAATACACCAAACCTAATTTCAGATTTTTTTTTTTTTTTTTTTTTTTTTTTTTTTTTTTTTTTTTTTTTTTTTTTTTTTTTTTTTTTTTTTTTTTTTTTTTTTTTTTTTTTTTTTTTTTTTTTTTTTTTTTTTTTTTTTTTTTTTTTTTTTTTTTTTTTTTTTTTTTTTTTTTTTTTTTTTTTTTTTTTTTTTTTTTTTTTTTTTTTTTTTTTTTTTTTTTTTTTTTTTTTTTTTTTTTTTTTTTTTTTTTTTTTTTTTTTTTTTTTTTTTTTTTTTTTTTTTTTTTTTTTTTTTTTTTTTTTTTTTTTTTTTTTTTTTTTTTTTTTTTTTTTTTTTTTTTTTTTTTTTTTTTTTTTTTTTTTTTTTTTTTTTTTTTTTTTTTTTTTTTTTTTTTTTTTTTTTTTTTTTTTTTTTTTCTTCATAACCAGCATATTTTTAGAGAAATGGACAAAAGCTATTTCGTACTGTGATTATTTTTCATCTTTCCTAGAAATCCGATCTCAACTACAACCATTTGTACCAAAATGCCCTTGGTTTTTTGGCTTCAATTCTTGAATTTTCTTCTGGATATTTGTTCGGTGGGGTCAAGGTGACATTTTTTCTGGCAAAATATATGAACTTATCTATAAAATTATCTATTATTTTATTGGTGGGCAAAAAAAAAAAAAAAAAAAAAAAAAAAAAAACACCAACCCATATGATTTGTGAGTCTTGATCATACAATAGGGCCAATTAAAATGTTGAAAGCTAAAGTGGTCACCATGGTGGGATGTTGATGAAGCAAAATTTGTGACCCCTTTAGCCCTACTGTTTACTCTCTTCTGTACCTGTTTGACTTGGAAAAAGTCAAGGAAACCAACAACTCCATTGCCACCAGGCCCTCGTGGCCTGCCCCTGCTAGGGTACTTCCCTCTTTAGGTACCGACCTTCACTACTACTTCACAAACTTGGCAAAAATCTACGGCCCTATTTACAAACTCAAGCTAGGTAGCAAACTATGCTTTGTGATCTCATCACCAACTCTTGTGAAACAAGTGCTTCGTGACCACGAAAATTATATTTTCCAATCGCGACGCCACCGTTGCTGCACAGATTGCCTCATATACGGTGGGACCGACATCGCGTTTGCACCATATGGACCGGATTGGAGGAAGTTGCGCAAGGTAGTCATGAACCACACGCTCAGTAATGCCAACGTTGATGCTTGCTATGCTTTGAGGAAGAAGAGGTGGACAGGTCTATCAGCCATATTTATGGAAAAGTTGGCACCCCCAATTGATTTTGGGGAGGTAGCATTTTTTACCAGCATCAACACACTCAGCGCTTGGTATGAAGCGGAAACGCTGCAGGAAGAGAAGGGAGCAACAGGTGTTGGGGTTGAGTTGAGGAAGGTGGTGACAGAAATCATAGGGTTGCTTGTTAAACCAAACGTTTCAGACTTTTTTCCTATGCTTGCCAGGTTTGATATACAAGGGATTAGGAGGCGACAACAGAAGGCTATTAAAAGATCATCAGTTCTGCCATTGAAATCCAGATGAGTGTTATAGAGTGTCAATATCAACACTGATTATAATATATCATACAAATTACATAATTAGACACATACATACACATATACATGTATCACCCAAGGGGTAAGTTGTCCATGAGTCATCCAAGAGTGGAGCAGGAGAATCCAACTCGGTAGGCCATTCATCTGAGCCAACATCTATTTCATCAAACACTATGGGTTTGCATTTTCCATCCCTCTTCTGATAAATGGATTGCAACCAAAGATTGCAATGCACAAAAAACCAGGTCATTGAATTTTTCCAGCTCTGCTCGGTTGCGTTTCTTGCTATGTAGGCTCTCAAAGGTGGTCCAGTTCCAACAGCACCAATGGGAGCTACAAGGTTGGCTTAGAATCCGTATTGCAAACCGCTGGAGTGTCGGGATTTCATAACCATAGCCTGCCCACCAGTCACCTGTAGATGCATGACGGCATGTTACATAAAAAACTCCATGTCTTAAAGAAAATGCACACATAATAAACAAGAGCTATAGTCCTAAGCTAGATGATGGGAACACCAACAATCAGTGCCCCAAGTGCACAAAGAGCCAGTTTGAGAGGGAATGGAGATGTTTAACACTTAAAACCGGTCTGTCGGACATGTTTGACATATTCCTTTCATTCTAAAATTCTATTTCTTGTTAACACTCAAATTCTCTTCTGACCAGTGACCAATAGCAAAGGTTTCAAACAATGAAGTAAACCAAATTGCAGAATATGCCACACAAACTGCTACAATGCAACCACAATCAGGTCCAGTGATTGAGAGGAAAACAGAAGATCCTATCATATGACTGGCACACATCTTTCAAAAAAAATTGTTTCATTAGTATTATGTTTCAAATTTTCTAACAGCTGAACCTTTACATACCTGGGGCATTCAGTGTCCTTCCCATGATTGCAAAATCAGTCCCAAGTGCACCTTGTGCATTGACATACATAGGATGCTCTTTAGTTATATCCATCTTATCTTCTTGTGTGGTAGCCCATCTTTAACATAGTGTCTTGAAATCCATTTCTCACCCCCAAATCGATCTTAAAGTTTGGACTGTAGAATATCGAAGGATTAAGGGAGGCTGCCGCTGCATGTAAGGACGAGTGAAGCTGCATATTCCATCTCCGATCAATTATATCCCAGAGCAGCATATATTTCTCTTCGATACCCTTGTAATGAGTCTTTATTGCAACCTTTGCCCTCTCTATTCCTTCATACATGTACCCCATAGCTGGCATGTCCCCATCAACAACTCTAAGGATTTTAAGTAGCGGTTCAGAAATACTCACAGCTTCTTGTGCATACTTCCAAAATCTCTCTAAATACAACAACGACTTAATTGCTTGAGCCTCAGGGCATCTACTGTATACTGAAGATGACCATTCTGTATGAGAAAACATGTGCTTTAAATTGTCCTCCTGAATCACAATGGACCTCAAGGTGAGGAAATTAGTCACAAATCTAGTAATTTTTGGCCTTAGCAATTCCCTTCCACCTTTGAACTTTCTCATCATACTCAAAGTCCATGCATGGCTATATATGAACCTTGTAATGGTCTTTGCCTCTTCCAGAACTGTGCTCACCACTCCTGTTTACCAATATCCTCCAGCATCTTATTAATACAATAAGAAGCACAAGGAGACCAAAACAAGAATTGTACTTGGCCATAAGAAGCCTTCCCGCATAAACATAACTGGCAGAAGTATTCGTTATAACTTGGACAACATGTTCAACACCAACCTCCAAGACAACAGACTCAATCAGCTCAAACAAGTACGTAGCATCATCTTCACAACCTGATACATCGACTGACTTCAGAAACAGGGTCCCTTTAGGGTATGTAACCGAGAATATTAAAAGTGATTTGTTCCTATCATCAGACCAGCTATCACATAAGATAGTGCAGCCTGTTTCTTTCCATTCATCTCTATATTTCTTGTAACAATCATGTATATCACCTTTCACTTTTTCCAACAGAGTAGATCTCAGGCTTTCATAGCTCGGGGCTTTGTAGTCCACCCCACACTCTGCCACAGCATCCACCATTTCCTGATAATATATGGATTTAGCAGCACTAAAAGGGATAGAGTTGTGGAAGAAGAACACAGCAATTTTTTATCAGCCACATCCTGCTTTTGCTTTTGAACATCATCCACTGGTAGGTGTGCAATTGGTGAAGGGCATGCGAATAACAAAGATGGACAGGTGCTTCCATTCTGTCCACTAGACCCATGGTTAGGTTGGAAGCCACCACTAGCAGAGGAGCTATTCTGTTGACCATTGGCTGCAAGTGCCTTATCCACCTTTGGTTTCTTGGGAGTTTTCTGTTTCTTGGGAGTGCTTAATATACTTAAAATGTGATCCCGCACATCGGTCGGGACTTCTGTGCAGGGGACTATATCTTTGTTTTTTATTTGAGCTAAGTGAAACTTCATCCTATATACCCCTCCACTGAACTCCCGCTGACAATAATTACACCTAACCTTCTGTTTTGTTGCATCAACAAGGATACAGTGCTCCCAACAGGCATCTCTTCCTCGAACCATTATCTTCGACATTTAAAAAAATTCAATAATTATTCGTTTTTCCATTGAAATGAAAATTAATTTACAGAAAGTAAATTAATTGTTAAAAAAGAAATAATTGATGTAATAAAACAAGACAACAATTAGTTTGAAATGGCTTCTTGCTTGACAATCTAAGAGATGCTAGAACATCCACTTGCCTTTCCAATACTTGCTTAACCTTGCATGGTAAAAATAAAGCAAGCACCAAAGCATGCTAAATTAATCATAGTATGCATTTCTTACCTGGTTTCATAACTTTGCAACCCCCGACCTTCGCATTATCTAAGTTTTAATTAAATCTCAATTCCTTTATCTCCATAGAAGCAATGCACCAAAATGCAGACATTAATTGATATAAAATACATCTTCGCAACTTGTTCGTTCGTTTGTTTTTTCTGTATAAGCAAATAAAAGACGAATTTCCATGGTATCACACCTCTGTGCTGTACTGATACAAATGAAGTCAGTAATACAGTACAAGACCAGTTATACATGCACCCTTCTTTGTGTCACTATGATTACTTGGGGAACTTTTATTACCTCATCACCTATGAACTTATGATCCATCAGAATAAATAAACTCTGGCAATTAAATCAAGCACTACCCTGAATCTTTAGGCAGCAAATTCTTCAATTTTAGATCGAGAAAACTTTATAGACAACATATATCCTCTTTCGGTTTTCCAAACTTTAAATCCTATGGCACAAGCTTAAATTTGAAAGTATCCCATCACAAATGAACCAACCAATCCATTGACTCAGGCTTGATAGCCTTATGAGCGAGCATTGTTGCCTGTAAAGACTTACCATGATGGTCTTTAGCTTATGAACAGATCATTTCACTGTTCCACTTAAATTGGGAAATTTTCTTTTAGATTTTATTTTCCATACAGTTAGCTTCCTCTTTATGTTAATTTCCCAATAACCCACAAAACTATTCACCCTAACAGCACCTGTTGATGCTCTTTTTCGGAGAGGGTCAACTTAGAGAAAAAGGGGTTTGCCTTCAGCAGGGAAAGGGTCTGGGCCTTCAATAAAGGCTAGCCTGCAGAAGACAAAAATAGGGGAAGCAGTCGTCAAGCTCCGGGCACCGGTGTGGTGCCGGCCGAAGGCTCTCCGATGCTTAAGTCAGCTAAGAATAGTAACTTTTGCAGAGTAATAGTAAAAGGCAGAAAAGTAGTTCCCCTCTTACTAGGGTACTGTTCCCTTTTTATAGGGAAGTGAAAGTGGGAGGTTGGTGTAGATTTCCGATGTGGGACTCTGTGCAAGTTGCCGCGGTGGTGACACGTGTCATGAGAATTAGGTTTAACAGTTTGTGAGCTTTGGCAGTCGGGAGTTTCGGCAGGTGCTTGGCACCTCGGAAGAGTGTCTTCCTTCGGCAAGAGAGAAGGCGTGTCTGCCTTGGTGCTAGTTGTTTTGAGACTGGATATGCTCGGTTGATTATGGTGTAAACAGTAGTCCCCCAAGTTCGCGGTCAAGAAGTGACTTCTGGGTTGGGAACTTGTAAGCTTTTGTGTGATCATGACCGAGCATTCCAGGTTCAGTGGGAGCCGTAGGGCAGTCCCTAGTCCCCCAAGTTGTCAAGCTAGAAGTGGCGTTAACACTTGGAAGGTATAAGAAAAGCTGTGTTAGCCTCAGTGTTTGTTGGTAGCTGGGTACCTTTAAAAGAAAAGTAGACTTGGGGTTTTGAAGCTTCAGTAAGAAAATCTGTGGGCCTTAGTGTTTATGACCCGGGTCCTGCCGTTTGGTAACCAAGTGATGATTTTGAGTAGCAAAGGCCTGGGTCCCAAAAGATTGGGTTGAAGCTTGAAGGAGAAAAGAGTATGGGCTTCCATTTTTCCATTTTCCTAGCCCCCTTGCCACTCGGGGGCTTTTTTTGTTTGAATGGCCAAGTGGTATGGGCTTGGGTAACACATATTTGTTGAGCTGGGCATGAGATTTTGGTAGAGAGAATCCCTTGGGAGCCCATTTCGCTGGTGCCCAAAATAGGAGCTGGTTTTTTTTTTTTTTTTTTTTATGAATGTGTGGTATGGGCCTTTAAGAGAATAAGAGCCTAGGAGCTAGGCTTGATTCGCTGAACTTTGCTGTTGTGGGTGTCTAGATCACATTCAGCAGGTGGGTTTTGCAGAGACTTGAGGGGCTGGCCACTTGAGCTGATTACCGTGAGTTTTAGCAAGAGCTGGGCTGTTGGGCAGATTCGGCTAGCGGGTGCCTTGAGCAGTTTTTGAGGTGAGATGTTGTTCATGGAATCCTCCATGTTGTTGCCACATAACCCTTGCCGTTCGGCAAGGGTGTTTGTAAATGTTTTTTGAATGGTTGTTGTTGTTGTGTAGCTAGCTTCCTTGTAGCCGGGCATTAAGGAGATGCCGGGTCAGATACCCAGCGAGTGGTGTGGCGTCTCGGTTTAGCTTGAGCTTCGGTAGGTAGGCACTTGAGCTCGGTGCCTGGCCATTTGGAGCTAGACCTTCGGCAAGGCTGGGCCTTGGGAGCTGGGCTATCCGTGGCTGGGGTCCTTGTGAGATTTTTGTTTTTTGTTTTTTTTTGTTTTTTTATTTTCAGCAAGGTAGCCAAGACAATTTTGGGGCTTAGCTGTGTATTGGGGCTGGGCTTAGCAAGTTTGGCTTTGTTGATGAGCCTCCCCATTTGGGTTTGCATGGTCCTTGCCGTTCGGCAAGGACCCTGGAATATGTATTGATGGTTATTGTTGTGACCTTGGAGCTGGGCAGTATGAAATTTCGTGGAGCTGGGCTCGGGAGGCTGGGTGCCGTGATCAAATTTTTGGTTTTGTTTCGCTGTGCTCGTAGAGGCAGGTTCGGAGCTGGGCCACCTTGGATTTTTTGGCAAGAAGTGAGAGCCTAGAGCTGGACCTTCGGTAGGTGTCCAAAAGGGTTTGGCCAATATTGGAGCTGGTCCCGTTTTGGCTAGGGGTTAGCTAGGATTTGGAGCTGGGCTCCGTGAGGTTTGGTTGTTTTGTGACTTGGGACCGTGAGCTGGGCCTTGGATAATTGACAAGGGCATAAGCTTTTGGCATCCTCCGTAGCCGGGCTTGCCGTAGAGTTAGGCCTCCTTGATTGCGGCAGTGTTGGTGTGAGCTAGGCTTTTGTGAATTTTCACTTAGCCGGGCAATTTGAGGTTGGGCCAATTTGGCAAGGCTTGGTGTGGGCCTTTGTGCCTTTCTTCAAGGGCTGGGCCTTGGGTAATTTGTGCGCACGAGCTGCTGAGGATTCGGTGCAAATTGGAGTTGGGCTCGGGGCTTGGAGCTGGCCCGTGCCATTTTCAGTCCCCAATCTCTTTCATGAGTTGGCCATTCGTTGTGATCAGTTTGGGGAAGCACTTTTGTGGGCCTGTGCAGCTGGTGCGAAACACTTGATCACGTGAAATTGGAGCTGGGCCATTTGAAATTTGGTGAAAATTTTCCGGAGAAGGTGGGGTATGGCTGCCATTCGGTGTCCTTGGGTGCGCCATTGAATGCCGTTGAATTTGAAGCTGCTTCCCATTGGGTGTTTTGATAGGTTTAGTGGCTAGGTGCCGTATGGCTTAGCCATCTAAATTGCTCCAGGCTTTCAGCTAGTTGTCATGTCGGCTTCTCATTAGATTGAAATGGTGGTTGGCCTCCTTAGCCCTGCAAAGTGATGCTGTCGGTGACTTGGAATATTTGGCACTTGCCAAATTGGAGCATCTTCAAAGTGGCCCGGACAGCTTTTATTCATATGCAATATTCATGAACCATATTGTTGAATAGAATTGTGCAATAAATTATTTAAATATTACATGCTCGTATGCAATATTTATATGTAAGAAGAGAAATCTTATCTGGAGTAATTTTTCCTTGGCCATGCGCAAGCCATGCATGGTGATATCCTTGGTGCATTTGGGATATTTGGCCACCTCTAAATTGAGACTCTTTCAATGTGACTGAAAGGTGGTTCCTTGGGTTGAAATGATGGGCTTGGAGCTGTGATTTTGTTGAGCCTCGTGCGCACGGGCTGGGCTTTTTCGTTTTGGTAGTGGTGAAGTTGCTGGGCCTTGGATGCCGAAAGCACAAGAATTGCATGTCGCAAGGAAATGGGCCTAGGCACGAGGGTGCCGAAGGCATAAGAATTGCATGTAGCAAAATGATGGGCCTAGGCACGAGGGTCCTGAAGGCAACACAAAGCTTGCGTGTCGCAGAGCGATGTAGCTAGGCACGATGGTGCTGAAGGTGACACAAGGCTTGCGTGTCGCAAGGCAATATGGCTGGGCACGATGGTGCCGAGGGCAACATAAAGCTTGCGTGTCGCAGAGCGATGTGGCTAGGCACGGGGGGTGCCGAAGGCAACACAAAGCTTGCGTGTCGCAGAGCGATGTAGCTAGGCACGATGGTGCTGAAGGTGACACAAGGCTTGCGTGTCGCAAGGCAATATGGCTGGGCACGATGGTGCCGAGGGCAACATAAAGCTTGCGCGTCGTAGAGCGATGTGGCTAGGCACGGGGGGGTGCCGAAGGCGACACAAGATGTGGCTAGGCACGATGGTGCCGGAGGCGACACAAAGCTTGCGTGTCGCAAGACAATGTGGTTAGGCATGATGGTGCCGAAGGTGACATAAGATGTGGCTAGGCACGAGTGTGCCGAAGGCAACACAAAGCTTGCGTATTGCAGAGCGATGTGGCTAGGCACGGGGGGGTGCCGAAGGCAACACAAAGCTTGCGTGTCGCAAGGCAATGTGGCTGAGCACGAAGGTGTCGAAGGTAACACAAAGCTTGCACGTCGTAGAGCGATGTGGCTAGGCATGATGGTGCCGAAGGCGACACAAGATGTGGCTAGGCACGATGGTGCCGGAGGCAACACAAAGCTTGCGTGTCGCAAGGCAATGTGGTTAGGCATGATGATGCCGAGGGCAACATAAAGCTTGCGTGTTGCAAGGCAATGTGGCTAGGCAGATGGGTGCTGAAGACATCTCTCGCGCTGGTTGATGGCTGGTGCCGAAGGCATAACTCATGCCAAATGATGGCTGGGTGCCGAAGGCATTGCTCAAGCCATATGATGAAGATTGTATGGGTGCCGAAAGGCACTGAGGAAGGGGAGAACGACATAAGCCTTTTGTATCGATTCCCACAGACGGCGCCAAACTGTTGATGCTCTTTTTCGGAGAGGGTCAACTTAGAGAAAAAGGGGTTTGCCTTCAGCAGGGAAAGGGCCTGGGCCTTCAATAAAGGCTAGCCTACAGAAGACAAAAATAGGGGAAGCAGTCGTCAAGCTCCGGGCACCGGTGTGGTGCCGGCCGAAGGCTCTCCGATGCTTAAGTCAGCTAAGAATAGTAACTTTTGCAGAGTAATAGTAAAAGGCAGAAAAGTAGTTCCCCTCTTACTAGGGTACTGTTCCCTTTTTATAGGGAAGTGAAAGTGGGAGGTTGGTGTAGATTTCCGATGTGGGACTCTGTGCAAGTTGCCGCGGTGGTGACACGTGTCATGAGAATTAGGTTTAACAGTTTGTGAGCTTTGGCAGTCGGGAGTTTCGGCAGGTGCTTGGCACCTCGGAAGAGTGTCTTCCTTCGGCAAGAGAGAAGGCGTGTCTGCCTTGGTGCTAGTTGTTTTGAGACTGGATATGCTCGGTTGATTATAGTGTAAACAGCACCTAACTTGTAAATTATCAGCATCATGCATGAGTAGCTTAGCAAAACAAAACACCAAAAGTCTTTTTAAATGAGTATTAATAAATAGGTCAGTTACTAAATGAAAATTATATCATTATAGAGCTTCAGAAATAACTTCTACTCAACTGGGCACAAATCAAAACTGAGTTATATCATTATTAATTACTATAAATGAGCTCATGTTGTTCTTGAGGATTTGAGCTGAGAGAGAGAGAGAGAGAGAGAGAGAGAGAGAGAGCACCTGGTTGTATAATATGGTCTGAGAGACAAGTCCTACTTTGTTGTTCTGGGAGCTGAGAGAAAAAATCGGACCGGTTGGAACCTGCGAACTAGGATCGGCGATTTTGAAGGGAAAGATGAAGGCAGGAGTACCGAGGAAATGAAAAACCACGGCGATAAATTGAAATTAGTGGTCCTCGCTTCGCTTGGCCCTTAACCGAGGAAAAGGCGTGGAACTCTTCTAACACTTGCACGTGATTTTCTCGTGCCTTTCATTTCATTATTGAAAAACTTTCCAGAGATTTTGCCTCTTTAATCCTTAATTAGTTTATTTATTTATTTATTTTAGGAATGCCAAGATTGCCTCGTTGATCTTTCTTTTTAGTGTGTAGAGCAGAGTTTAATACTTTTCGACAAATGTTATAATATAATATAATTGAAAATTAATAGAGGTTAGACATGTCTAGTTATCCCGAGAAGTGTAGATAACTTCCACCTCTAAAAATAGTGAACATTTTATTTACTTACAATCTTGAATTTAGAAACAATTCAAGATTTAGCACAATTGTGATGACAATATAAGAACATAGCAAGCAATCCAATAATGACACAAGTAATTAGTATTTGGTCTACTTTGTTCTACAAAATCTTGGTTCGGTTTTAATGATCATTTTTAGTTAAAATCAAACGGAATCACACCGAATGAATAGTTCGATTTCAATTTTGATTCTTGATTAAAACTGGATTGTGTCCACCCCTAATCTGACATATGATTTATGATACAAAAATAGAATTCCCTTGTTTTTTAGAAAAATGGAAAAATTCCATGTCTCGAAGCTCTAACGAAGTGTAAGAGCCAAGGTTTGCTTATACTGCTTATCACATGTGCAGAGATTACATAATACATTGCCCCTCTAGCAGCAATATTAATAAAGAAATTAGTCATTCTTCACAACTTTTGTTCCAATATAGCCACCCTTATATTACAGAGGTACTATGGGGACAACATAAAAAGAACTATGGGGACACTATGGGGGACAGTGGCTAATTTGGAACAAAAGTTGTGAAAATAGCTATTTTAACACAGAGCCCATATTAATATGGGTGGTATAGTTCTGTGTGTGTGTTTTTTTTTTTTTTTTTTTTTTTTTTTTTTTTTTATTTTACACAGCCCACATTAATATTTATTTTGTTTTCATACTCAACGGGTGGGCTTTTTTTGGGAAAATTTTTATGTGATTTTGGGTTTATCCCTCTATCTTCTCTTACTATATGATATGATATGATGTGTTTCTTTTCTTCAGGCCTTAGACGAGGAATTTCTATTTTGGATGTTGGCAAGTGATTTGACGCATATGATTAATTTCTGTTTTCGATGCACTTTTTATATGTTTCTCATGCTACGGCAGATTCTTTTTCATGGTTTAGAATCCGATTATTTATCTACCAATTACATTTCGAGTTATATTATTACCCTTCATTGATATTTTTTGTTTATTCGACACTGATGAAATGGTTCAAAATCACCCAAGAAATATATCTGCTCCAACCAATTAGTTATATCTGATTCACTTTCATTTGCTTACAACAGGTTAGACTTTCTCAATGGTTATAATATTTAAATATTTCATGTTGTTTAGGGCATTTGTTCATTTTTATTTCTGCCGTTTTATTTTCTTTTGGTGCATGTACTCTGCTTTCTCATTCGGCTTAGGAAGTCTTGCTTTTCCATTTGCTTTATTTTGTTTTTTTTTTGTTGCATGTTGGCCAGTAATTCAATGCTTCTTTAAATTTGTTTTTTCGCTTTTTAATTTTTGCATTGCTTTCTATTCTGTTTTCATTCGTCTGAATTTGTTCCCACTTTAGGTTGCATTGATATGATATATATTTTTTACGAAATGGTTACAAGGCCAACCCTAAATTATGGTGAGCCAAGAAAAGATGGATGAAAAGATCAAAGAAGAAGAGGTTCCAATAGTTGTTCACAATGATATTCAAAAAGATGAGAGCCATAAGTGATTATATTATTAACAAAATTTAGAGAGGTTTTCTCTATTTTCTGGTGGATTCCAATTATTGATGGATTTCAGTTTATCTTCTCATATTTAGATAGAATGACATCAGCCGGGTCCACGCTACAGGCCCTGCACATGAGCTCGACTTGGCTAACACTTTGGGCTCCACTATGTTTCAATCCAAACAATAGGTGGACTGCTATTCAACCCATATTTTAGCTTGAGTCAAATTTAAGTATGACCCAATACTTGCGTTGTGTTGGGGACTCTTTTCAGTCCAAAAGACAGAAGATTTGGCTTTCCCCCATCTGAGTTGGAGATGACCTAACAAGGTTAGCTCAACTTTAATTAGTAGCACAACCAAGCCATGATCATTACTTTATCACGGACAAATTGAAAATCTAGAGGCCAAAATTGCTTAACAAACTCATATTCTACTCAAATATTCAATCTATGGAAACTGAGCCAATGGAAGGCCCATAGATCTAGAGTTTTTTAATTGAGCAAAATGGAAAGCTCGGCGCCATAATACTAACATTAACATGCACGATTTGGTTCAGCTTGTGGACTTCGATAGCAACAAGTAAACATTGTACAGTTGTTTTTTGTTTTGGTATACTCTATATAAAAAATTAGGACCACTAAGCTTATTGGAGGGACACAAAAGCACCATCTACATTGGAATTGAATCCTCCGATGCGCCAAATAACACGCAGTCACCAATCTAGATTCTAGCATATAAAGAATTTAGTTGGTAAAGAGTGTACTAAAGTCAAGAACCAAGGTACGTATTCACACATTTTGGGATTCAACCAATGGCTTTGAAGTTGTAGATGGTATATACACATCAAAAGAGTTGGCTTTGAACTTTCCAATTAGCTTTTGGCTTTATATATGTTAATTATAGGTCATATGGGTTACCTCGTTTTTCAAAGTGACTAAAAATATTCAAGCATCAAGTAGATCGAGAAGAAAATACATGGTTGATTTCAATTCGAAGAACAAAATAAATAAATATTAAAAAACACAAGGATCACATGATTCAGCATTCCACTTGACAATCCTTATATTTTCTTTGAGGCCACCATCGATCACTTGATGAGAATTATATTGATAAGATTCTTAGGTATAGGGTCTCTCTCGCCTCGCCTGCAGCTTTCCTTTTCTTTCGTTTTTTCTTTTGTTTGTTTGTTTGTTTTTGTAATTGCCTTTTGATTTTATTTGTTTCTTGTGGCATCCTGGGTGCAACTATTTTTTCATGCCAAACACAATTTTTTCTTGTGGCATCCTGGGTACTCCTTTATATAAGGACAACACCAACTTTTGTTTTAGGCACAATAATAACAGCTGTTGTGCACCCATTATGTCACATGATTCCTCCCTTTTTTTTTTTTTTTTTTTCTACAGAATGTTGCATGCAATATTAGAATTTTAACTTATTTCTATAATTTTGTATGTTTAGATATATTGGAAGTAAATAATTAAATCTAAAAATATTTTTTTACTAACATTAAATTCTATTTATTATTATGATTATAAAAAGTTGGTTCATTATTAAATAACACAATTTTTTTTTTTCATTTGAAAACTTGTGTAAGTAGTTGAATAAAATAAAATTTGTTTTGTATAAGGGCATTTTGGTAATAAAATTGGTTTTTGATTCCGATTTTCACAATAGTAAATGGTTTCAATGAGAATTGATTTTATTTTTCATTATGATTCCTAACATTTAATAAATCGTTTAATTAGAATGGTAACTCTCATTCGTTGTTGTTACGATTCATGCTTACTTCAATTTTTGTTTACCCTGTAAACATGTCTTATTAAGGAAAATTTTGAGAATGAATAAAAAGAGGGAGTAATTGGAGAAAAAACAAAAAAGAGAGAATTTAATTTATTTATTGTTTTCAAAATAATACGCAATTACTATTTTACCCTTTTGTATTAACTTCTTTTTATTTAGTGTAATTTAAGTAAGGGTATAATTGGTAATTTAT